TTTATATTTATGATAGGAGGGAGTATTAATTTTAATCAAGAAATTTATTTTTTAAATAAAGAGGATATATCCGATTACATGTGTCAGCACATGAGTTGTTAGACTTGCGAGCTATCTAGGGATGCAAATAAAATACAACCAAAAAAACAAGGGTACCATTATGTATCTTAACTTACTCAAAAGAAAATACCACAAATGACTTCAAAACATATGTAAATAAGGCAGCTTTTTTTTCTTTATAGATTTTTTTGTCAACCAACATATAGATATTTCATATCCGAACACTGGGTGCTTGTGTGTATATATTTTATCATTATTGTATCGAAGAAATAAATATAAAATAATAAGATAGATATCTCTCGTGATTACATTAAAAACTAATTAGTGTTTGATATGATTGGTAAAAGTAAATAATGCTCTTTAATACGGGCCATACTTGAATGTTTGTTGAAACTAGTAATCTTACTGCATTTTAATGTTCTTTGGGTCTCTGGTAAAAAAAAAAAAAAAAGGTTCTTTGGGTCAAGTCTGGTCGCCCAATTTACATTATAATACATACATTTATATCATTTATATCATGATAAATTGTAACTGTAAAATATAAAAAATTATAAACATTTGACGTGCCAGACCTATGAGTTATGTAAGGACACAAACATAACTATAGAAAAATTAAAAGTTATCATATAAAAAAGGATTAATTAATGTGCAAGTCTTTATAGTTTTAACCAATTTTAAATTAGGTCCCTATAGTTTTTTTTCTTTTTATCAAGTCCTTATATTTTCACTTGTTTTTAATTAGGTCCTTGCATTTATTTTTCTTTTTATCAAGTCCTTATAATTTCACTAAATTTTTATTCAAATCCATGTAGTTTTAATTTTTATTTATTAATTAAATATAAAATTAATTAAATAGATTAATACTGAAATATAAAATATTGATAATTAAATTAAATTAACAATTATATAATGAAAAATAATTAATATAATTAATTAACTCAGGAAATTTTTTTAGAACAATTAATATTTTCTTGCTGGCAAAAAATAAAATTATTATAATAATTCATTATTTTTAGAATACTATTGTTTATAAACTAATATTAAATAATCTATACTATTTTATGTTAATAGAATAGTATTATTAGAATTTATAAAATAAAGAGTAAAAAATTCATGGACTTAATTAAAAATAAGATGAACTTATAAGGACTTGATAAAAAAAAATAAATACAAGGACCTAATTAAAAACAGGTGAGAGTATAAGAACCTGATAAAAAGGAAAAAACTATAGGAACCTAATTCAAAATTAGTTGAAACTATAAGGATTTACAGATTAATTATCCTTATTAAAAAATAGCATTATCGCATAGTAGACTATATACTTCTTTGCCAGATATGAAAATATACAATAAACATGAATGAAGGTAAAATTTTTCATTTATATGAAGAGAAGTAGATTTTTTTTTTGAATGAAAAGAGAAGTAGAATTTAAAGTTTGCTTTTGATAAAAGGTACTTTAATTTTTTAATAAAGTATTTTGATGGTTCGTGGTATTTTTATATTGTTAAATAATAGCCGACATCAGTTCCTACGTGGCTTTAGACCTTCCAATTTACGTTATAAAATAAAGTGCAACTTTTATATTTTTCTAATTTAGTAGACTAAAGTCTTTAACAACCATCTTCCAGAGACCCAGGTGTCATTCTCTCTTTTTAATTTTTTTGTTGTTGCTATCTATCAATCAGCAGATGAAAATTTGCAATATATTTATTTATATATTCTTTGAATTCTCATAATATCCTTTGATCTTATGGTTGTTCGTTTTTTTTCCCTGAACTCGAAGGCGTACAAAAAGAATTAATATAATCCTCAATACCTGACATGAACATGACTTCTTAATTATATGGTGAGTCTCAGAATCCTTATTTTCCTAATTGCAAGTGTTTAAATATAAATAAAAATAAAGAATGATAAGAAACAGAGATAAAAAGGCTAATACATCTAGTACCCTAAAATATATTTTTAGGTACATTCAACATTCTAAAATATTTAGTAGCATGATTAGAGTTTTTTTTTTGTTGGGTAAGAATTTCTTTTGGCAAATATAAATGTCTGAATAATTCTCATGTTAAATAGGGACATTTTTGGCAAAACAAAATTTAATTTGAATTTGAAGATAACATAAATAAATATTGTATATGATATATTTGGGAAGAAATAAAGAAAAACAGATATATAATTGGAATAAGATAACAAAATCATATTAATTTGAGCCATTGTCTTATATGATATAAAAACTCAGTCTGTTAACAATTTTTTATATAATTAGTGGTAACTATTAATTATTAATAATAATTAAAGATAACATGTTCAGTAATATATGAATAACTTAAAAAATCATATTATTTTTGGTTCAATGCTGAATATTGGTCACAACAACAGTGTAAAAGATAAATTAATAAGGATGCAAATAAAATGCATGTTCAACTTTATTTTAGAAAAACCAGCACATTTTTTTATAAATAATTAATTTAACTAATTTTTTTAATTTCTACAAATTAATTATTTAGTTCATATATTTTTTTATTGGAAGGAGTATATATTATTATATAACATAAATGTTTTTAACTTTAAAGACAATGTCAGCAACTGGATTATATATATATATATATATTTGTGTATATACCCACACACAAACACATTTTTTGCTAGATATGAAAATATATAATAAACAGAAGTGAAAGCAAAAGTAAAAGTTTTCATTCATATAAAGAAAAGCGGAATCGGAATTATGCTTTTAATGCCAAGTACTTTGTTGGTAAAAAGTACTTTAATCTGTTGACAAAGTAATCTAAGGTGTTGTCTTTCCTGAAATATCTTTATTAATCAAGTGTATTGTTTGGAACTATTATTATTAGAATGACTATTTTGAGAAAAAATGCATAAATATGAGAGACAAAGTAGATTGGGGTCTTATATTTAAGATCAAAATAAAAGTCAAATGATGTCTTATATTAATGACTGAAGGTAATAGTTCACATTTCATACGTAGATGTTTTTCTCCACTAAGACATTAATGACTGTTTCTGGTTTATCTGGGTTTTTCTTGAACTAGAAGGCGTCAAAGAGGAACTAATATAATCTTTAATACTACCTCTGGTCCTAATTATAAGACCAAGTTGACTTATTTGAGGAGATTAAGGAAGTAAGTTAAGTTAGTTATTTGTAATAAATAAGTGTTGTCATTCCTAAAATATCCTTGCTAATTAAGTGTATTGGTTAGAACTATCATTATTAGAAGGACTATCTTGGAAAAAATGCATAAATATGAGAGAAAAAATGGATTGGGGTCTTATAATTAGAACCAAACAAAAAGTTAAACGGGGTCTTATATTAAGGACCGGAGGTAGTATATCACTTCTCAATTAAACAGTCAGTCAGAGGATGCAAGTGTTCATACATGTAGAAAATCATGAATGGGAAGAAAAAGAGATAAAAGAGAGAATATGAAGATACATCATACATGGGCTTGGAATGAACATTATGTAAACCACAAAAGTACTAAAATGAAAAATGGAAGAAAAATACTAATGCCTCGTTTGGTGCATTGGAATTGAGGGTGGGGAAGTGGAAGTGGAATCATAAAATTGACATGTTTGGTACAATAGAACCTACTTTCACAAGGAACTCACTTCCATGAGTCCATCAAATTGATGGAATTGGGTTCCATGGCCTCCCCCAAGTAACTGGTTTGAGTTTCTAGGAAGTGAGATTTTCTCACAATTATACCCTCAGCTCTTTTATCTATTAACAAGTTCGCCCCTCATATTATGACCCTTCTTTCTTCCTCTTCAGCAACCTCTAGTGACGGCACTCCCATTCAGCTCCACCTGCAGTGACAACAGAGGACGACGGCGGGCGATGAGGATGCGATCTGCAATCTTCGTCACCTTTCTCTGCGATCCTAGCCTCCATCTCCCTCAACTTCGTCGCCTAATCTCGTCTTCTTGCTCTGTCGCACCCTCCCTCAATCTCTATCTTCTTCTTCTTCTTTGACTTGGAATTTGAGAGTAGGAGGTCCCATCTTCTTCCTCTGCAGATTTTTTTCCAATGAGGATATTTTAGTATTTTCACAATATAAATATATATTTTAATTAAAAATTATACCCTACTTCCACCCTCATACCAAACATATTTTAGAACCCACTTCCATTTCCGGTTCTACTTCTATTTTTCCTTCCACTTCCATAAAAAAACTCTTCTATCATAACAAATGAGGTATAAATCAAGTGTTGTGGATCTATTGAATGTTGAAAATAAACAAGTTACAGATGCAGACCTGTGCTGGACATCGAGGCCCTATAGGATGTTAGAGGTTGCGGAGTAAAGGACTATGTTTAAAGCTACTACTAATTTAAGAATTGTTATTGATTTTGTATATAAGATTTATTTTATATGTTTATTAATTTTTTTTTTCAAAACAACCGTATTGATAATTTTTTGACAATAACTAAGTAGAAGAAAGAAGAAAAGAATTTAGAAAAATGATTAAAGTTTTTTAAAACAAACATATCATATTAACTAATTTAACAATATTTTTAATCTATTTAAATTAATTACTTAGATTTTATATTAAAGATAGAAGAAATAATATATATATATATATATCTCTGTCAGTTGGCATAATAATGCCGGAGACACCAAATCTACTATGGCCGCTTACAACATATGGTTCTTGTTTTTTTTTAATCGTTCAAAAAAATGCAAACCATCATTCGTCATTTGGAGGCCCATAATAAATTCTTTTCTTCAGCCCAAAAATGAAGGCAAATGTGTTAGCCGGAAAAAAAAAAAACACGAAGAGAAAAATAAAGGCAAATCAGCCGTTTCATATGGAGCTCCGCAACGTAGCTGGTCGATTAAAATTCTCATTCGAGAGCCGCGTAAATGTAATGGAACTATTCTGCAACGGCTACTTTGGGCTTCTTTTAGTATTGTTCGTGTTTTCTTACTTTGGTTCCTCTGCTTGCTTCGATCGTTTGTTCTTCAGTGGTCGAAACTCATCTTGCGTCGGTGTTCAGCTGCTCGAATAACAAGGAATTGGATTGCGCTCTATTTGAGACGACCTCCGTAATTCGATCTATAGTGCGATTCCTGAATTCACGGTACGCAATTTTTCTCGTCTTTAGCTCTTGTGAAATGTTCCAGCGGAACCCAAGCGCTGTGATTTTCATTTGCTTAGTTAGATCCTGATAGGCAATGATCCAGGATGCTTGTATATCGCAATTTGTCTTCAGTGATGTGCTTCGTGTTACGTATGGTAAATTAATCGGTCGATATGTTTTCTATTTAGAAACATTTTCCCACTGCCTTTCCCTATCAATATATATTCTTCCTGAATTTTCCTCCCTCCCCGCATCAGTATGATTTTCCTTCTTGAATTTTCGCCTTCAATCGCCGCTGTCTCAGTGATTCCTCCTTCATGAATTTACCTTTATCAGGATTGTAATCAGAATATATATTGATTAATAAATCATAGGATTTATTTGATTCCGATTTAGTTGGATTTCTTCTTACTCACCTCCGGTGAATCAAGAGAAAGAAATCCTTCGGTCTAGCTAATTGAAATGAACTGATTTGATTACATGATTATAATTCTCGTTCGTGCCAGAAAACATGTATACTTCACTTTCTTAATCTTGTCCTAGGCTTACTATGAGGATAGATAGTCTTTTTTTCCTCTTTTCCGGTGGGACAGTTTAGTGAGCCAACAAGCAACGGCTTGAGCTCAATCCCTTCCTTCTTAGTAAATGTCCTTGAACTCAGAACTCCAACCCAAAGTCGAACTCCCTTCTCTATTTCACTTAGGCTATAAGCAAATGAATTCGATCCAGTAATCACTTCCTCTCTGTATCAGTTACAGAAAAGAAAATCAGAGCCAGACAAGAAGATGCTGATCTCCTTTATTATGCTATTTCAAATAATATGTCCAGTTGTGCTTATAATTGATTTAATTGGAATGGGAGAGAATGATCCGCAGATAAAATGGAAGAGAAATCTCAAGCATAGTTCTGTTGTTTTGTACACATTTAACACAAATTGCAACATTGACATTGCTTTGTTGGCGTATGAATTTGGAATTGTTTGCTTTCTTGGTTTTTGTATTTTTCGTTATCAAGGTGATGGATGAAACCAATATGCCATTACATAGGATCTATTTAGAGGATTTTAATTTAAATGAACATTAACATGATTGATTGATGATGTGTAATTTGTAAGCTGGGGTTTTGAGCACTACGCTACAGAAAAAGTAAATACCAAGATCCCAAAAAAAATTATTATTTATACTAGAATGCTACAAATTGCAAATTGGTTTCATTGAAACCGTAGTCAATAAGCTCAAAAAATTATATTATTATTTGTGATTAATTAAAATTATGATATACTAATAAATAATAATGATTTAGAAGTTTGGAACCAGACGGAAACGGAAGGAAAGGAGTAGTGTTTAGAGGAGCAGCTTTGAGGTCTCTATGAGGTACTCCTAGGGTACCATTTCATTGGTTTTCAAAACTGAAGGTATGTTGCTCTTCTCCCCCTTCATTTATTCTCCTATGCAAAATTTTAGTTGGGGATCAAAGATGAGGGCATTTATTTTGGTATGTTGGGAGGCCATCTCAAGCTATGGGTCTTAGTATTTTGGTTTTTCATGTTTGTAACATGAGGAAATATTGGATTCGAATTTTAGCATAAGGCATGCTTATGTTTTTATTGCTAGTTTGGTTTGTAGCTCTCTCTTTGTGAGAAAAGGATTTGAGTGAGGCTTAAGAATAAGGTTGAGTTCAAGATTGAGCTCTCTCTTTTTAAACATTGGAATCCTTCATGATTAGAATTTAGAAACTTGGTTACTTCCATTGTATTTAAAAAAAAAAAAAAGGAATTTAGAAAATTGGTAAGGCATATATGGTAGTTGCTAATTCTGGAATTTATCATGTGAAATTCCGAATTCGCTATTTTAGCAGGCTTGGAGCTTTTGGAATTAGCTTTGGAGTGTTGGATCTAAGGGTTGACTTTGGGCTTACTCTTTCATCAAGCCACAAGCTCATCTCCAATTCTTACTTTGATAACCATTTATAACGTCCAGAGGTAACTTGGGTTTGTGTATGTTGATTTCCTATGGTTTTATATCTGAATGGTATGTTTAGAAGCTAGCTTTTACATAATATTTTGTCTACTTTCCCTCGGTGATTGCTGAAAGTCCTAGTGTTCAAGAGAGTTTTGAACTTTTCTTCATTTGCCTTACTGCTCACTAAGCTTATATAGTTCTTTATATATGAAAGTTATGTTAAGAGAGAGTTTTGGACTTTTCTCCGCTTGCCTTATCGCCCTAGGCTTATGAGAAGCATGGGTTAAACCTAAGCAGACTTGTGTCACAGCTAACGAGTCAGGATTGGGGTGTGTGCTAATGTGATGGGCCAGCCAGCATTAGTCAAGAAGAGAAATTTTAGGTACAAGGATTTAAATATTTAAATTGTGATAGGATAAGGTTTAGGATACAAGGGAAAAAAAAACTCCCGCTCGTGACTTAGATGTGACTTGAGCTAGAACATGTTAACCAAATTTTGGAATTTGGTGAAAACTCCCACCTCCCTAGAAGCCACCATTGCCAACCGGGGCAAATAACTATTAAGCTTTGAGATATATAAAATGACTCTAGCAACCAAGTGAATAACAACAATTGACTAGTAAATGGCCATATGACCATATTATAATCATGAATGACTATAACAACATAGTGAATAATAACAATTATTAGCAAAAAACCATATGACCATACTCATCTAAGCAAGTGAGTACTATTGTCAAATCTTTTGTGCTGCAGCTGCTTACGCCTCAAGGTGAAAGGAATTTTCCCTTCAAATGTCCTGTTATTTTTACACCACTCTTGAAAATCTATCCTAAAAAAGTGACTATGCCCGTTGAACAATTTTTTGTCAAAATCACGGAGGATTCATCATATTTTTGTCACTTTCCATGCCAAGTGCATCAAACATTTGTGGGGCATCCTAGTTAACATCGTTGTGGTAATCGTCTTCAAGGATAGCATTATACACTAATTTCACATTGAAGTTTCCCACTACTGTCCCATTTGAGCCACGATAGGTTACCCAATTTTTACGTTCCCAAAGTTGACTTGATCCTTGGCCCCCATTGATACTCTGCCAAATTACTTTCACCCACAATGCACCTTGTTTTCTTACAAGATTATATTCTAGTAGAGCTTTATCAAGAACATCGTTGTGGTAATCATCTTCAAGGATAGCATTATACACTAATTTCACATTGAAGTTCCCCACTAGAATCCCATATTCATTTGAGCCATTTATATACCCAATTTTTACGTTCCCAGAGTTAACTTGATACTTGTTTCCATTAATACTCTGCCCAAATTACTTTCACCCACAATGCATCTTGTTTCTTGCAAGATTATATTCTAACTGAGCTTTATCAAGAACACATGGTTTTGAGCTTTATCACGTCTGAGCACTTGCAAAATGTGGTAATGGTCATGCATTCGTTTATAACATTAACTTTGTGCATAGAAGCCCCTGCAAATAGAGTAATATTATCAGCAAAAGGATTAAAGCACGTTTTTGGCAGGCATTTCAAGAATATTTTGTGTTTTTGATCCTTGTCCCCCATTGATAATCTTACGCCAATGTTTCAGCTGTGGATCTGGAAACAAATTCTCATAGGATTTTAGCAGATAATATTTTATGTAGTTTTTGAGTCTTTACTTAGTATCTTCCAAAAGCTCCAAGATATTATACACAGGTTGCTAAAAGGTCCCCTTGTGACCTTCTAGAAGGCAAACATGATGCTTTATGGGATAATACATACCTTAAGAATGAAGTGCTACCCATTATACTAAAAGTTTATAGCATCGGTCTGGAGTATGGATCTTATTATGCGAGAGTCTTGTCAACTCATTGTGAAGATTTTCTTAATCTAAACAAATTCCCTAGACCCTAAGAACAAAGTGCTAACCATTATGCTAAAAGTTTAAGTCACGCCTTACATTTATGGTAAAAGTCAAAGTCATGACATTTACGGAAAACACACCTTACATTTATTGTGGCTAACCATTATGCTAAAACCCTTTTACATAGCTTAAGGCATGATATTGAGGACTTCTAGCTGCAAAAGCCTTGTCAACTTATTCTAAACTTTAGGGTTTCAGGATGGATTAGCTCTTTTAATTTGCAAGAATCTTGTCAACTTATTGTAAATTTTAAGGTTTTAGCCAGTCTTTACTTTATTCCATATTCTCTAGGTAAACACAAATTCTAGCTTACTAATCATATTATGTATTTTAGCCTCTTGTTTGACTTCTTAAAAGGGGTGAACATAATATGCAATGTAATCTTAAGAATGAAACACTAGCTACTATGTGAAAAGCTTAAACTGCTAGCAGAGGCACGTTATAACGGATTAGTTTGGTTAAGCCTTGATTTATGTTCAAAAGGTTAATAGTGTTGAATGAGATTAATTGAGGCTTAGCAACACTAAGGATGATGATTGACGATCATATTTCCAAATGTTTTAGAGTAGTATTAGGATTTGAAAATTTTAAATGGTTAAAAAAGTTTTTTTGTCTTTTACACAGGTTTCTAAAAGGTCTTCTTGTTTGACTTCTTAAAAGGGGCGTAATCTTAAAAATGAAACACTAACCATCATGTCAAAAGCTTAAACAAATAGTAGAGGCGTGCTATAATAGATTACTATGGTTAAGCCTTGATTTTATGTTCAAAGGTTAGTAGTGTTTATTGAGATTAATTAAGTCTTAGAAACGCTAAGGATGATTGACAGTCATATTTTTAGACAATTTAGAGCAATATTAGGATTTGAGAATTTTAAATGGTTAAAAAAAAATCTTTTAGTGATTCTTTCTGTTTTGAAAAATAAACACATCAATCTTTTTAAAGAATCCTAATTTACAAATTTTGGAAATGTATGGAACATAATTTTGAAGTTAGGCCCCTTTACTATCTACAAACCTTTTGGAGTAATCTTTAGTAAATTATCCTTTTCCTCACTCACTGATTATATGTGCTAATATGCTGTTTGTGAGGATTTTCATATTTTGAGATAATGAAATGCTATTTAGAACTCGATGATATTTGATATATCTTTTGAGTTATAAATTGTGGAATTGTGAATGAGAAATTTGGAAAGTGTGTTATACAATTTATACCTTTGAAGCATAAGAATATAAAGTATTTATTGAGATAATGAATATGTGGGACTATGAAAGGAAGTTGATCGTGGATTATCAATAAATACTTAGATTGATTTTTCCTTGGTCGATGCTCGAGCGGTAAACGGTGACGGACTCTAAATCCAGCTCGGGCCAATAATTCGCCGATCCACTATGAAATGATGTAACCATTTGTTGTTCTCTGGAAATGCCCAATAAGCTTTCATACACAAGAATAAAAATCTGCTACATCCCTACCATTGGTTTTGGCAATTGATTGGATGTTAAGATGAGTCTTGTTTTACCATGTGTCAAGGTCACCATTAGTATATATTGGTTGGCCTGTATGACTTGTGTATTTGCCCCCTTATAGTGAGGCCTTGTTGATTGTTATTCTTTGTTATACACTTGAAATTTGTTAACTATATCACTTGACACCTCATGAGGTTAATTGAGGCGTTTGTCTTCTCCTGTGGTTTTTAATATTTTTAGCTTCTCTTGTTATGTGCTGATTAGTTATATATTGTCACCTAGGTCTCGTTCACTACGTTGCATATCTAAATATTTTTTATTAACTATTCTAATTGGAGTGCTAGTAGAAGGGTTTATGGTTTAGGGCTTGATGAAGGCTTGATGGATGCCTTTAGGATTATTTCTTGTGACATTTCTCCTAAACTATTAACTTCTGATTAATGGAGCTTCGGAAAGATTTATAAGTTGTATGTTTAGAAAGTGTTTTGTGTTGATTGAGCTTATTTTTGGACTTCGACAATCCTAAAGACTTAAATACTATTATATTTGTTCAATATTAATGAGCGTGAACACTTTCTAAACATAGAACTTATAAACCTAAGGGTGTAGATTAGGTTTGGCCATGTGGCACCTAAAAGTCAGCACAGACTAGGGACCTGTATCTAATGGCATACAAAGTAACTTACATAAAACCTCTCTTATGTTAGTGTCCTTGGCTACACAAGCTCGTAAGTCTTCAAGAGTCTCTAGGAGTTGTGAGAACAATGAGGGTTTAGGTGTTATTGGTTTCCCTTGTGTTTACACAGTCGCAAAAGAAGGATCAAATGAAAGAAGTCACTTATTTTTCCATCGACTCTCTTATTTTGCGATTGAGGTGAGGTTAGGATTGAGTTTCCGAAAATCAGGCATTGCTTGATTTTTTTTTTTAATGTTTTTAGAATATTTTTATATAATTGTCTTTTAAAACGGGAAATAACAAAATTTTGTTTTGATGGCAGTTTTAAAAACTTGGAGAATTGAGAGAAGGAGAGAGATTGTCAACATCAGATGGAAACTGAGAGAAGGCAAGAGACAGAGTGGAGAGGGCATCGATGACGAATTGAGAGTTGGAGGATTGAGAGACAACATAGAAATAGACCAATTATCAAGAAGTTGAGTGTGAGAGACATAGTGGTGACAGCGACCGGTGAGCAATTAGGAAAAATAAGAAAATATAATATAAAAAATAAGAAACATATAAAAATTGTTTTGCTTTTAAAAATAGCTTTCTATTTTTTTTAAAACACTTAATTGAAAATTTATTGTTAAGCAATTGTTTTTAAGACAAGAAATCAAATAAGGCCTTGCATTTTTAAATAAGTACAAGTATTATCTTATTAGAAGCAATTCTGTTCAAAAATAGAGATTCATTATTTGGTCGTTAGGCCCAATAATTCTAGTAGTCATTTATTTGATACCCCCCAAGGAGCAGGAACTGCCATTCTAACACTTCTCGGGGGATTCCATCCGCAAACGCAAAGTTTATGGCTGACTGATATTGCTCATCATCATTTAGCTATTGCATTTATTTTTCTCGTTGCCGGTTATATGTATAGAACTAATTTCGGGATTGGACACAGTATGGCCTAACATATCTAGCATAATTTTTAGACCTTAATCAAGGTTTAACCCAAAGTACCCATTTTGTTTCTAAATTTTTTAGAATTTTTAGAAATAATTTCTTGTCCAGTTATAATGACTCTTAACTATTAAAAAAGAAAGAACCCAAAAAAGACTTTGAAGCAACATATAGACCGGATTAGAGTTAGGATGTAGCTTCCTCCCTATAGAAGAGGACCCAAATGAGGACTCAGAGTCACAATAGCTTATGGTAATCAAGTATCAGTTGATAAGTATGGTGGATATTTCCCAGGATTTGTAGAATGTAGGATTTGAGGATTATCTTCAAGAGAGAAGGATCAGGAATGATTAGAGGAAGACTATATTGTACTAGTATTGTACTAGTATCATTCATGAAAGGGCTTTTTAGTGTTGTGAAGAGCTACCCTATATCTAAAGAGTTTAAATATGTGCTATGTCCTAGAGCTCATAATGGGAAAGCTTTCACTTTGAGACAAACTCTAAATGGCCATACAAATATAGATCTTTTCAATCTTAGATAAGCAATTCACAGACATTGAGGATTATAATAACATCACTGATGATCGTGAAAGTAATGAGGAGGATGTTGTTGGTAGTGGAGCCAAATTAGAGCTGTAGAATGTAGGATTTGAGGTTTATCTTCAAGAAGAGAGAAGGATCAGGAACAACTAGAGGAAGACTATGTTGCATCATTCATGAAAAGGCTTTTTAGTGTTGTGAAGAGCTACCCTATAGCTAAAGAGTTTCAATATGTGCTATGTCCTAGAGCTCATAATGGGAAGGCTTTCAGTTTGAGACAAATATGGATCTTTACAATCTTAGATAAGCACTTCACAAACAGTGGGGATTATAATGACATCAATGAGGAGGATGCTGTTGGTGGTGGAGCCGAGTTAGAGCTATCCTTCGTATATGATGAAATTATACTATGGTGTGACAAGTCATCAATTGATAATATTATCAATTAGCTTATGAAACAGCAAGACCATAGCGCACCAGGCAATTTAATTGATATTATTATTAGCTTATCAATAGACAATAATACAACAACAATTTATTAAACAGTAATGAACAATCAATTGATAATATTATAAAATGTGTAATGAGTCTAATATGGTCAACCAAGATCCTTTTACTTAAAATTGAATATGATTCTCAAGTACAACACACTAAAATTCAAAACAAAAAAATAGTTCAAAGTTCAAACACGCCCTAAAAAAGGATCGAAGTCTGAACACAACAACCAGAGTTCATGTCAAAGAGAAAGAAAGAGAAGCTGAGAAAGCTACAGAGAAACAAACCTGCTGGAGACTGCAGACGATGAGTGGAGGCTAACGCAAACAGAGTTTGGTTGAAGAGATGAGTGGAGACCAATACTAACTCTGAGGATAGGGACCTCATTTGATCCGTGGACATGGCATCTATAGAGAATTAAAGTTCTTGAGATGGGGAATTAAAAGTGAAGGCTCTAAAATATTCATGTAATCATAGTCTTGCATAAAAGTTAAAACTACAAGTCAGACTTGCTTCTCCCTCCTTGGGCTCAGAAGAAAATTCCAATAATTTAAAAAAAAAAAAAAACACACCCAAGTGACTGCCGACTAGTGAGGCCAAGAGCCTCCTCGTTGGCAAATATCTCATTCATCTTCCTAATAATGGCCTCAACCTTTTTACCTTTATCGGACAAGCAGGGGGCCATTGACCATGAGATTATGAATCCAAACTCTCTCTCTCTCCCCCTACAAGATTCAAACTTTATTGGTCAATTGGATCCCCTTAGATCTGTCACTGAATTCAATTTATAATATTATTAGCTTCTTAAACAGTAATGAACCATTTCAACTAATTTTCTCTCCACAATGTTTTGGACGTGTAATGAGTCTGATATGATCAACCGAGATCCTTTCACTTAAAATTAAATATAATTTTCAAGAACAGCAAACCGGAGTTGAAGCATAAAAAGAGTTCGAAGTTTGGACACAAGAACCATAGCTTCCAGCTGGAGAGAAAAGAGAAATGGAACGAGAAATATGCTTGAGATTTCTCTTGGTAACAAAAAATACAAAAACTAAGAAAGAAAACTATTCCAACTTCATACGCTGCGTCTGATTGGGGAGAGGAAGTGGTTAACCTTCTAAGGCAAAGGAGATGTAGGAAGTAAAACAGAGAAGGGAGTTCGACTTAGAGTTGAAGTTCTGAATTCAAGGACTTTCACTGAGAAAGAAGGGACTAAGCTAAGTCATTGCTTGCTCGCTCACTGAAATGTATACATGTTTTCTGGCATGAAGGAGAATCATAGTCATTTGCAATAGAATCAATTCATTTCAATTTATCAATTCACTAGACAGCTAGATAGATGGATTCCTTCCTCTTAATTCACCGGAGGAGAGTAAGAAGAAAACCAACTAAATTGGAATCAAATAAATCATATGATTTATAATTACTAATATTCTGATAATTGAATTACGATCTTGATCCTATTGTCTCTATAGATCCAGAACTGGAAATAAAGAAATCGTTTCCTCCAAAGCTGTTCACATTAAATTGCCTCCAAAATCCACGATCAAGCCAGAGCTATATCACCCCTCTTTCTTTATAGTCGAGGACTTCGTGCCCATGAGGGAGGTGTCACTAATAAAGCAACGGCAGAAGGCAAAATTCAGGACGGAAAATAGTATTGATGTGGACAAGGAAGGAAAATGCAGGAAGAAAATACTGGTAGGGAAAAGCAATGGGAAAATGTTTCTAAATAGAAAGCATATCCATCTATTAAATTTATGATACGCAACAAAGGAGAGTCTCTAATCTTCAATATAGTGACAAGTTATGAAAATATATAGAAACACAAAGCAGTGAAATAAGGCACATTACCGAAGACGAATTTCTTCCGAAATCATTGCCTATCAGGATTGAATTAAGCAAATGAAACCACAACACCTGAGTTCCACTACTGATGCAGAAAGAAAAGGGGGCAAATCAAAGAATACCAGAAGAGCTAAAGGCCTAAAAAATTGCCTACCAACGATTCAGGAATTGAAATATAGATCGAATCATGAAGGTCATGTAGTGTAGATGTTGTTGGTGGAATTGAATGCGATCCAAGCCATTGTTAGAGTGGCGACTGAAGAATAAACGATCAAGGCAAACGGAGGAACCAAAGTTAGCAAACACGAGAACAATATTAATACTCCTCCTGTCCTTAATATAAGACCCAATTGTTGAGTTGGTTTTGACCCTAAATATAAGATTCATTTCTCATATTTATCAATTTTTTTTAAATTACCTCTATAGATAGTTCCTCAACCATAATCAAGTAGAAGAAAAGATGAGGTATTAAGAAAGATGACTATGGTATTTTAAAAAAAACGTTTCACATTTCTTATAATTAACTAACTTATCTAACTTCCTTAATTTTATCAAATTAGTTAAATGGGTTTTATATTAAGGACAGGAGGAGTAGCTTAATAGAATCCCAATCTAGCCGTTGTAGTGATTCGACTTCTGAATTCGAGAGTATTTCAGCCGATCAATTATGCCGTGCCACTGTAAATGAAACGGCTAAATTTGCCTTTATATTCAAAAATTAAAATCGCTTCATTTGGATTGGATTTTTGGGCTAAAGAAAAGAATCTATTATGGCCTTATGGGTTCAGGTCCAAATATTATGGCCTTGTGGGTAATAATTATAATTATGAGCGTTGGCAAAAAACACTATAATTATAATTATAATTATAAATCTTGCGGGTTTTGTTTCCAATCTTTTAAAAAAAATAGTGGACTTAGTTGGCAAAATATCAACCGATTTTGATGCGGGTGGTTAGCATGATTTTATTTTGGATTAATATAAATTTAGTTTTTTAAATTTGAACCAATTTTGATATTGATCCCTGGAATTTCAAACACAGATATTAATCTATGAAATTTTGACAGTTAAAAAACGTTGGTCCCTAGTACTTTTACACTGTTAGCTTTGACTTAGATGGCACTAACACCGTTAACTTAATGAGATGACACATGAGCTGGGACATATGTGGCTTGATACATGGTCATACATAAAGCTAAAGAGAGAGAAAAAATGACAGTTGAAGGCGAGCTTAAAGACAGTGGGCGCGGTGCATGAGTAGCCATAACCCAACTTGACGTAGCTTGACGGGCTTTAGGAAGTCCAGTAAATGTCGCTCGATTTTGAGGATGACAGAGGATGAGTCCTTGAAGTCCATCTCAGCTCTTAATCTCTCTTTTATCCATTTCCATGTTGCTGATTGTGCTTCCCATTCTCTCTCTTTCTCTTTCTCTATATCTCGCCTGCGCTGTGTAATATATTTTTTTAATTGAGTTTTTCACTTTACTGGAAGCTGAACTCCAAGTGACTACCCAATAAAAGCACAAATGATCAAACAGAACTCATCTTTTTTTTCCTTTAATGAAGGATAAATATTAATCAAGAAAGGATATGAATATATTGAGGGGACAAAAAAAGTATTAATATTGTTCATGAATATATTGATCTTATCTAGAAAGAAGGGGGGAAAAAACAAATAAATGGGTTTAAAAAGTGCACTACAGAGAAATAAAAACACAGTGGTTGAGATTGGAAAGCAAAGGGAAGTTTAGTGCAGAAGGATCGATGAAGATGGGGGCTATGCCGCCACATTATTTTATTAGCTCTGTTTCTTGTCTCAAGAACAGAGACAAACAGAGATGTAATTTGAGTTGTAACTTGGTATTATTTTACTTGGATGTCATCAATTTTAATAATGTCACAGTAGTATCATAGTTGGATGCGATGAATTTTAGTTGCATATAATAGCAGCTCGCAAGGCATCATCAATACAACACACATTATAAGTGGAGCTAGCACCTGTCAACACGAGTTTTTCTTTTCATAACATGATATATAAGCTGCTAACTGAAAGAAAAAAAAAATCAACTTACTAATCTTATTCCGAGATCTAATAACCAAAGCATATGACATGCCCTGGAGATGAATGCATCATAAGCAAAACTGTAGTTGCTGTGAAGTGGAGTCCTGTGTACCATTCTCTCGTCCACACATAAAATATTGCCTTGGATCATGGAGTTTTCCTTTTTTGAGTGAAACGAGGTGTATTATTGCAAAGTTACTGTCTTGGGTGAATTAATGGGAGAGATCAACAACGTATTTGCTGTCTCTGTTTCTATTGTTCTGTCGTGCATGAGTTTTGCTTCAACTGTAGCTTTTCTTTTCTTTCTTTAACTTTAAGTCTAGGTCATCACGCCACACATGTGCTAGCTTATGTGTCTACCTCATCAGGTTAACGATATTAGTGCCATCTCAGAGAGAGTTAACGGTATAAAAGTACTAGGGACCATAACAACC